TGTTTTTATTTGCAAGTTTCAGGAGCAAATTTTTATTGAACTCCAAGAGTATCTAAGAATGGCACAATGGCTTGGGTGCAGTGCTGAGCAGGCCTTAGTTTACTTGACTCATGTAACAAGATGATTTGGTTTTATCACTTGAGTTGATAACAGAAATTGGCCACCATAGAGTTTCTATCATTGATGTTTTGATTATTAGCTTTTCATGAGAGCAAAAGTAAATGAAGAGTAGCCAAATGCAGTCAACAGCCAAATGGGAAACCAATTAACATATCTCCAAACACCTAAAGGATTCAACTTGGTATATCAGACAACTTTGCCTCTTCAGACAATTTGTTAGTCATTTTGAAGGAACAGCCATTTGAAAAAAATAATTGTTATCTGTGATTAAAAGAGTCATACCGAGCCGTGAATCATGAGAATGTCACCATTGCCAGTGGGATTGCAGGAATACGGACTCCCTCCAAACTCCCACGCTGGCTGACCAATCTCTTCCTTCCTTGGACACAAACTGGTCTCCTCGTCATCATCATCTAACTGATAAAGATTCCACCAGTTCGTTTTGTCGTTGATGTAAAGGAGCTTGTCATCTGGGGACCACTTGGGAAGCATGACGCTGATACCAACTCCCCCTGCTACCTAAATATACAGACAACAAAGAGATAAGGACAATCAGTATTATAAAAAGAGAAAAAAGGAAGCTAACAAGTTGAAGACCTTAAATTACATCTTTGTGTTTCATCTCTAGATTTCAAAACTGCATCCTAAACAATCCCCCATTTAGTTGACCCTTTTATCGAAGCCATTAATATTTTTTTGAACAGCGTCAAGAGGGCCCAAACCTAACAGTGTAGGGACATTTATTCAAATAAATCAACGGTCATATAGAGAAGGCCTTAGGCCCACTGATTGGGTAAAACCATGGTTGGGTCAGACCTTGTGTAAATAAGTGGCCCTAGGATTTGAGTAACAACTTTGAAATTTTCAACAGTGTCCCTACCTTTCGTTTTGTGTCGTCCTTTAGTGAATCTCCATCCGATGATATTTCTGCCAGCCAAAGCTCAGTGTCATCCCATGGCTTTAAATAAAAAAAAATCTCACTTAGTTTAGAAAATCTTTCCCAATCTCCTACTTCCTAAATTTGTTATTCCTAACTCCCTTGTTTAGAAAATACTGAAGATTATCAAATGACAGATTTTGACATTTTTGCATTTCCCTCAAGCGAACCACCCTCTCTTCCTCTTCAGTGCTTTTTACTCTCCTGTCAATCCTAACACTCTTGCTCCCTATTCTCTGTGGTTCTTGAAAACCTGTTGGTCTCCACTGGCCTGACAGAATGAGGTCATAAATTTTGTCTTCCCAATATGGCTCAGACCAAATTACCAGGTCAATGTGTAACACTGGATGCACTGAAAGTTTCGTGCATTTCTTCTCTAATTAATCTTACCATGTTTGGGTGATTCCACTGTACCCAAGCCATTGTGCCATTCTTGGATACTCTTGGAGTTGAATAAAAATTTGCTCCTGAAACCTGGGGATAAAAACACATAAAAAGCATCTATTAAAATCACTAAACATATGCTTGTCAAACCTGACTTTGCAAAGTAGATATTTGTCAAATGAATATTAGAGACCTATGGATTCTAAGACATTCAAGTAAAAGCATGAGTCCAAGGGTTTCCAATTGACTAAGTAAATCTGTGGGCTTACCCAGACCTGTATACATTTTCAGAGGGAAAAATCACAAGCTACCCTTCATAAAAAATAAAGTTTTTTGCCAAACTGTTGTACTGTAGTGCTAGCAAGTTAGCAGTAATATACATTTTTCATTTTAGAAAGGGCTCAGTTAATTGTCCAGTAACAATAACTGTGCAAACTTTATTATACCTAAATAATACAATGATGCTTCTTGAGTTATACATTTTCCAAGTATTTCCTCAAAAAATTCAATAAAAAACTTGAACCGGTGATCGTACCTGTCCTTCACCCTTGAATTCTCAGAAGTGATTAACATTTAAATTCTCCCCATAGCAGACTTACACAAAATAGCAAACAGATTATGACTACCATAGTAACTCACCAACACAACCTGCTCTTTTTTCTTCCGGTTGATAGATACAACTGTGTTTTGTGCCTCTTCTGCTCCTTCAGAAAGCACCTCATGATCTTCACGTACACAAACAACGATGTTTTTTTTGTACATGGCACCATCAGCATATCTCCAGGCTTTATGCTTTGGAGTGATAGGAACTGGTTCAGTCCCAGATTTCTTTATTTTCTGGCAGTACATCCTTTGATCTTCATAATTGGAAAAATAGATCCGGTACTTGTGAACAAAGAAAGCACCCCCTCCATATTCATGGACAAGTGTTCGACTGCTGAAACCATCTGGGGTAATGGATTCTAGTCCCCCACTCCAACAACAGATGACATATCTTCCCTCTTCCTCTGGCCGCATCTCTGACCAGAAGACTTTATCTACAAGAGTAGGTGGCAAAACAAAGAACCTATGAGTTTGTTCACTTATTTATAAACATACTAAATTACTTGCTTTCATTAGTGAATTAAAAATAATTTCCATTGAGTGTGGTAAAAATGAAGCCAAAGTAATCACAACAGCCAAACACAGCACTCCCAGTGACTCATAAAAACCACTAACTGATCATTAACCCTTCACTCCCATGATCTCAGTAGTCTACCCCATGATTGCTCTTACCATCTGCCATAGAATTCTCACAATGTTAATTTCAGTTTGGTATTGTAAAGAATTGCAAGTAAAATGTTGGATCATTATTTTTAAGCACTCAATTGAGGATTAGTCAAACGGAGATACACCCAGATATGTTGAGTTTTTCAAGAGGCCTAAATAAAATTTTCCTTAATTTGAGAGAAATCTTTGAATAATTTTATCAAGGAAGACAAATAGAATGTGACAAATGTTATGCAATAAAGGACTGATTGGCATGGATAATCCCAGCCAAACTTAAACATCTTTTGCCACCAAGCTTCTTTATAGGCAGGAGTAAAGGTCAAAGTGAAAACTGATATCCACCTTGTAAATTCAGATGAGACAATAATGGATTTTGTGTGTCAAGAGCTCTTAATGAACTAGCCAACAGGCTTCAAGCATTTTATCTCAATGTCAATGCCACATTTACATAAGGTAAGATGTTAATTATGGACGATTGTTTAGTGAAGACTATCATGGCACCTTAAAGAGAAAAGACAATCAAGTAACATTTAGCAAAGGTCTTCTACCAAACTAGAAAACAGAAGAGCAAGGAAACAAATTTAGAAATCCTTGTAGCATCCTAACTTGCACATTTTTGATGCACAATTTGTTACAAAGTTCATTATTAATTCATATTATTGCAATTTTAAGCTTTAAATACATAACGATGAAAGTCTGGAAACATTGAATCAAATAATTTTAATGAAAGTGGCATTTCTCAGTTGCAACTTAGAGATATTAAGTAACCTAACAACCTCAATTCTGAGGCAAAAGGTTTACTCTTGGACTTAAGAAAAAACTAGAAGTATCATGAAACGAATTGTGGTTGTTCATTGCAAAGAAATTCAATATCAAAAGAATGCAATTTTCTATCTTATTATGTAGTCACTTTTCATGTGAATCGCAATGTCTTAATGCATATTGTAAATCTTCCTCAGGCAAAGAAAACATGTAGTAAGCAGTTGCAGCAACATTATTCACAATGGAAGTGAATGCAATGTCAGACTAATTACATTTAGTTCTTTGAAATAGAAGTAGACTGTGTCTGCCAAGCCTTGCACTTATCTGTCTTTAGTTTAGTATACTTGCAAGTGCAAAAATACAGGATAATCAAAATTAACGGCGCACATGTACAAGTTGTCTGAAAAAACGTTAAGTCTCTTAATATGCATATACTTGAAGGAGGTATGCCTAGGCTGTAGCTGCTGAAACTAAATCAAAGCCTTTAAGTGGAATCAAATTAAAACTTCCAGATTTCTGGCTTTGTGTGGTAGGAAGAGTGGTCAAGCTGTCCCAAACAGTACGTCTTTACTTCAAGTGTCAAAATTTTCATGAATTAAAAAAAAGATGAGGCATGGTTCATTAAGAGTTTTAGGTCTGTCAGCCATCCCGCCTAAGGCAACTTGCAAGACAAAACCATCTGGTTTAATTATTCCTTGATCAGATTCAGCGTCCCTCTCTGTAAGCCATACATGTCTACAAATTACTAGCGTTTAACTCAACGGTTAAAACCTTTTTTTAAGCTTTTTTCCGGTTAAGTCAAAAAATTAATAGGAAGGAAATAATTTTTCTCAGTCTTTTTAATCTTGTCGCTCATGCATACAAAAGGCGCACACTAAAGAGTCGCTTGCCTAGCTCGTGAGCTTTTTCTTCTTTACCGTTTCCGTGACGCTTTTCGGAAAAATATATCGTTCAACTTCTTCCTATGCAAGTTTGCCGACCTTGATCAGCTCATAACCTAAACATGAACCTGCAACGCTTAAGAAAAAAAACCTAAATAAAAGATTGCTAATGCTTCATCTGACATTAGCTACTGCCATGTGCTTTCGCTCGACTCACGCTCGTACTTTCAGAGGAATTTTGCAGTCTCTGTCACTAGCACTGCAGACACTTATCCAAAAGTACGCTTACCTTCTTGGAAAGGGTCTATCCTAACTTCCATTATCGATCTTGACTCTGAAACGACAGTAGTGCTTGATATCTTGCTTTGCCAGGAGCCGTACGGTGCTGTGGATTCCGCCATCTTCTTCAACAATGAAAGGAAAGCGAAACCGTCTGTCTATTCTTCATGCAAATTCTTTTTTTAAATGAAAAGGTTATTTGAATTGTCACGCAAATGACCTTTACAGAAAGTCCTTGATCTACATCCGCAAGGCGGGAGGTCAAACCCTGCACGCGTACGAGAATGGTTCCGCTGACAGTTCACGCGCCGGACCCAGCTGAGAAAAATATATTTCTTTCTTGTGATGTGTTTTGTCATTTTTTTTTTAACAAGAATCGATAAAAATGGCGTATATTGCTGGAGTGGAGCTTGGAGGCACGACATGTATTGCCGCAATTGCAGAGTTACGCCAACCAACAAAGATTATTGCGAGTTTCGAAACAGAAACAGAAGCTAGGCCACAGGAGACGCTCTCAAGTTTGACGAAATTCCTTAAGGAGAAGCGCACGAGTCTGGGCATTGCTTCATATGAAGCTATCGGAATCGCTTCCTTTGGGCCAGTTGATCTGTGCAGGAGTTCTCCAACCTACGGCTTTATCACCACAACTCCAAAAGAACCTTGGAGAAATACCGATATAGTCGGCTTTTTTAAACGTGAATTCGGCGACTCCACTCCAATTGGGTTCGATACAGATGTCAACGCACCAGCAATGGCTGAACTCGCGAAAATTGAACACGATCCCGCGGATCCTCCCACGGTGGTTTACATCACTGTAGGAACTGGTGTCGGCGTAGGAGCTGCGGTGTGTGGGAAACCCTTACACGGGCTTCTTCATCTCGAGGGAGGACATACTATGGTACCTCCCCTCGATGGGGACAGCTACCCTGGGGGGTGTGGTTTCAACCATGGGTATTGTGTAGAGGGCATGGTGCACTCTAAAGCAATTGCAGCTCGAGCTAAGGTGAGCCAAAGGGAACTCCATACCCTAACAGATGATCATGAGGTGTGGGAGAAGGCTGGCTACTACCTCGGAGTTCTATGCCTAAATGTCACATATCTGCTCTCTCCTCATGTGATTGTCTTGGGGGGAGGAATCCTGAAGCGCAGAGTACTTTTTAGCAAAGCAAGAAGATGGTTTAAGGATTTAATGAAAGGATATCTTGAGGTAGAGAAATTCAAGACAGAAGATGGATTGGCAAGTTACATTAGGGGAAGCGTTTTTGGTGATTCAACTGGAATTATCGGTGCTTTAGAACTGGCCAGGAAAGAAGTCTGTAACAGAAATTGAAAAAAAAAAAAACTACTGATAAGATGGATGTTTGATAGTTTTTGTGATTAATTTTTTAAATTTCATGAAGCTCACCATTTAATGAACATTTAATTTAAATAAAATGAAAGCTAATAAGGTTCCACAACATGAAAAACAGAATTTAATCAAATGAAGAAAAAAAAATGCAATTTGTAACAGTATCTTTTTCAGTAATGAATGAATGTTTTAGTATTGCCTGAGTATAGAGAAACTTTGTTGCTATGAAACGAGTTGGGAGACTGTTTATTTAATTTGCACTATTTTAAAAAATTGTAAAAGAAATCTGGATCAGTGTGTAAAATAAAACAATTGTGGCATCTGGGAATAAAAATTGTTTCAAGTAAATGCATAGTCTTTGAAATTCATGGGAGAAGAAATTTTTTCCACCAAGTAACAAGTGCATGAATGGGAGACCAGTTTCTCTGACCCTTTAATAGTGAAAATTTTGTTCAAACCATGCTTTGTATTGTCCATGCTACCCAAAGTAACACATCAAACAAATCCCACAAGGCAAAACTTGTATATTTAAGAGATAAAATACCTTTAATTACAATTGAATTGCAAAGAATGTTCTAACAAAAACAACAATTCACTATGAAAAACTTCAAGTTAGTACAAAAATGACAAATAAATATGTGTAATTCTGAAGATAATATGTTTTGTATTTAAAAGCAATCTGATTTCCAAACAACAAACCCGCCTGAGCCATTTCCTCTTTTCAAACAATACTTAACATTTGGCAACAGAGGTAATTCTTTAGAAATTATTTGGTATCAAAATGGAAAACATAAATTTTGTACCTTGGGACTTCAGAAAAAATCATTTTGTTAACCACAACGTTGAAAATTAAACACCACAAAATGTCAAGATATAGAATAGAAGTTAGCAGTTGCAACAGCAGTTTAACAGTTACAACACTACAAATTAATATTTAATTAAAAAAAAATAGAGCAAACCACTACTTTTGCTAAACTTTGTTTTTACAAATTCACCAAGTTCATTTTATCTGGAGGCTGAAACTTGCAAAAATTTTGGATGGTAAGTACCAAAAATAACTACCATAATTCAACTTGTCTCCTTTTTCGTATCTTCATTCAACAGAGCAGATATCATACTATAAACAGAAAAGAAAATTAAAATATTTCATTCAGTACAATGCATCCAATAGAGTTTTACTACCAAGGGATTCAAACCAATAAGTTCATTTGCCAAACAAATCCAAACCCTTAAAGTACAGTGATGATGAAAATGGTGTATTCAACTATCTTTCTGGGACCGAAAAACACAAACGAGGAAGAAGTCAACATAAGCAGGATTTTATTGATTTGAGGAGAAAAAGAAAATAAAATCCAACTCATAGCCTAGCTTTCCCCACACCTTTAACACCCAGATATATTTCCTTAAAGAGCATTAGAAGCTAACTGTCTTTTTTCAAGAAGAAAACACTTTTACAAACAACTCAACTTACAGAGAATCTTCAAGATAAGATATGTTTTCAAATAAAGGCTGTTTAAATAATGAGGGATTTCAAAACATGTTGTTGGTTACTCTGGTCAAAATAATTACCTTTTGGCCTTTAACCCTTTAACTCCCAAGATCTGATTGTTAATTCTCCCCTCTAGCTGCTACACATTTCCTTGTAAATTGGTTACAAGAATTTGTTGTTTAATCAAGACAATATGTTGTACCTGATAAGTTTGAGTATTCTCATTACCTGTTTGCTGGATAATGTATGGAAACCATAGGGAGAAGTTACATGTTAATCACTTCTGGGAGTCAAAGAGTTAATGAACATTTCACAATCACCTTCAATTTCAGAGTCTGATGCCTACTTTGAAACAATTTGAAACTACTGGTTTATATTCATGTTAATGTTTTGGGAAAACAATTATCGTTATGGAAAAAAACTGAAACTTACCTATAAAGATATAAAAAAAAGAATAAGAGATGAAATCCAAGTTTGATCATAGCTTCTTTAATAAATCCTTTAAGTTCATGCCTGTTGTGGATCTCTGCTGGGTCATATACACCAACATTACCAGTTGGCTTGTTAACAAATCTGAAGTGAGAGACAAGATATTAGTTTGCAAGTTTACAAGGCAAACTTTATATAATCCAGGTTTGTTCATGCAGGCAACATAACATTACAATCTTGGCAATCTTAGAATTTTCCCTCATGATTTCATTTGCATGTTGCCATTACTTACGATACTCTTTGCCTCTAACTTTCTTCCTTAGAGCTGAAATTTCTAGGTAAATTCAAGGGGGGAGGGGTTGAGACCTATAAGCCCTGACCCTCTAGGGGACAGAATAAGCACTTCTTGCTAACCTGTCCACTACAAAATATTGCAGCATATATCCTTCTCCTGGAAGTCACATCAAGAATATTCCCACCAAATATCAACTTTTCAAACATTTTTCCAGGCTTGAAGTCCTTCTTAAAATGCTTCTGTAAAAATAAGAGGGGTGAACTCTTTTCTTGGTGCTCAGAAAAACCCACCTGTAAACAAGCCAACCTAAAAGAGGAGCATTGAACAAGAAAAATATCCACTGAAAATGTACAAGTAACAATACTGTTATGACTCCATGTGCAACTATTTCTGGAAGAATCCACTGAAAAAACAAAATTAGAAAAATATACATGTGAATTTTGAATTTTGTTGGTAAATAATTTATAGATTTCTCATATTAACAAAACGATGAGAACATATAACTTGACTTATTAGTTGTAGTGGTAACAATTGATTTGCAGCAATCGTTTTAGATGTATTAAGGTATCGTCATAACCATCTAAAGTCTTAATTTTGTATCCTAATTTTAAATTATTGGGGTGTTACGCCGTTATCTAACTACCGGGTGTGGTTATAGACGTTTCGTGTTTTCAAGTCATCTCTGTTTGAATTTGGAACAAGTTTTTAGGTTTCTTTATCTCAATATGACACTTACCATGTTAAGTCTCCTGCAACATGTAGTGGCGTTGATGTAGTCGCATTCCAGATCCGATAAGTTAATGATCTTGATTATGCAAAAACTCAAGTTAACAAAAAAATCTCGACAATGTAAAACATAGAATTACGATTCGAGCTTAAGTGCAAACTAAACGGTAATAAGCGAATTATTAAATGATACATTTATGAGGATAATTAAGTCATGTTCAAGGTTATGGCTTTGTAGCAGAACTGAATTAATGCTGATGGCACTGAAATAAGCCGGGAATCTTAACTTAACAGAATGAGATATGGCTACAAATGGCATGCATATGACAACTAACAAATATAGTTGTACAAACTAACTTTTCAGAGAGAGTGACGTCCAAAATAATGTACCTATTATTATGTAAGATCAGTTGAAGGATACAAAATAAACGGTTAAAAATAGTAACGCAGCTCCATCGATCAGGCCAAATATATACAACGCTGCTTCAGACATCTTGAATTTTTCAGACCGAGCTACAACGAGAAGGAACTGGGAACAACAACAAAGAAACGAGGCTGAATCGCATATCCTATACTCAGTGGAGAGGGATGTGGCAGAGTTTTTGTATTGTACAAGCAGGTATGGAATTTTTCATAAACTCAATAAACTAATAAATAATATAGCCTTAATAGTGGTATAAATATTATTTTGTAAAATCTGACGATCCATTTCTGACAAATTATCGAATATAATTTAATTTGATAGCTTTTGACTACCGTACCATACTGCGTATAAAATTTGTCTTCGTTGTCAAGACAAAACATAAAGCCTGCGGTTGTTACGAACTCAGTATTCAATATGGCGTCGAACCATGGAACGACCGTTATAAAAAATCTGTGTTATACAGCGCCCAGACATCCCAGAACAAATAAACCAGCAACTGAAAACGAAAGAGCAAGAAGTTCCTTAGAAGCAGAACCACTTGAGAATGATGGATTATCCGATTTTAGTGAAAGAAAACTGCCATCTTCTCGTAGACACAAAAAGCATCACCAAGGCCACAAAACCAAGGTGTCGGTCAGAGAGTCTTTGTCGCATTCTCTTCGTGAGCTTGACGGTGTTGACGAGGAGAACTTCTATGAACATCTATTAGCGCTGAAGAATGAACACAAGAAAAGTCTAAAAGCGCTGGAAAAGCTTTATTATTCCGAAAAGGACAAACGCGACCACGGGTTTGAACTAGACTCCAAGACGAAAATAGCTGTAAGAGATTTTGATGATTCTAGAGTCCAAGAACACTTCCCTTTGCGTGATTATAATCCCTTTCTAAGAGCGGAAGAAAACGATGAAAAGGAAGGCACTGCAATTTCAGTCAGACCAGAAGATTGCATTAGGGACATGTCAATCAGAGAACATAGAACAAAAGAAGATAAGGAAAATGAAGGTAATAATATTATGCATCATTATTGATGATAATAATAATAATAATAATAATTATTATTATTATTATTATTATACAAATAATTTTTATAATTATAGTAATAATTTATTTTTATAATGATAATAATGATAATGAAATGATAATGACAATGGTTGTAATGATAATGATGATGACTTAGCACTTTTACCAAACTGTCAAACATAAGAGCATTGAACATCAAGTCAAACATATATTCTTTAAAAAAAAAAAAGGGTGGTAATGTTTGTGTAGATTCTCTTGAGTCATCCAGAAAAAGTTCTTGCTTGTTCCAACACCTCTCTTTGACCATAATAACAATGCGTGCAGGTCATGTTTGGATTTTGGAGGAAAGTGGGCTTGTGCCTTGAACTGTTTTTCTTTATTGTTCCAAGATCTCAATGTGTCTCATTGCTCTGGAACTAGAGTAGAAGAGTTAACTGGAATAGACTGGAAGTGTAGCTTCTATAAACTGTAGGACACTGTAGGACACTGTTGTCCAGGGCTGGGTTGTTCATAGCTGGTTTGAGATAAACCAGGGTTAGAGTGAAATCTGATTTCAGATCTGAAAGCTTGAAAAGAAAATTCACTATAACTCGTTTTTTCTATAATTTGATGATTGGATGCTCTGAAGAGAATAGAGA